CCAATAAAGATGCTGTGCCAAATCTTTCTGTGATAAGAAATTATCACCTCCTGCTGTTCTGTCACACACTTGCCAGGTGTTAGTGCCCTGATAGTGCACCCMTTGAATTAAATCTACTTTTCTTTAGGGTTTGGAAGGCAAAAAGGCTGGGGGAGGAATAGCTGAGACATCATCTGCTAACTCTGGAAGCAGCAGTCTCTTGTAGATTGGTGAAGGAGAGGGACTAAAGGCAGTAAATTTGTAATTGGCTCCATCATCATTGATTAGAGCTCATCTTAAGCCCTCAGAAACTGGTGCATCTCTGTGAATTTCTGCTGTCTTCAAAATACTGCAGTGCTTCAGCTGCCTGTCTGCAACTCACAAATCAACTTGCCACTTGAAAAARCAGTAACCCATGATGTGTTTCTGAAAACCTAGATAACATCTGTCAGGCTTGGACTACTAATAGGGTCTTTGTGGACCACAGTGTCATTGTCTTGCACTCCATGAAGAGACAACAGATTATTCCAGTGCCCATGGGGAAAAACCTGACATTTGTTTTTTCACAGTTAGCAAGGTCAATGCTGAGGCTGCTCTCTACTGGAGAAAATTAGCAAATATGTGGTAATGAGCATCACTGCACACAGAAGAATCTGTCAKCAGTGAATTCAATGGGGCCTTTTGACCATATCCAATGATCTTTTAAGCTTTGTGATAGAGCAAAACATTTTTATTTTGTTCCTGATGGTTTCCATTGATTTTTTCCTTCCTCCATGGGGAGGAAGAATCTCCATGGAAGCATTCCCCTTCTGTACATGTCCTGTTTAGTTACACTGTATATACTGTGGTCATCCATCTTTACAGATCCTGTTTTATTGAGACAAGAATGGACCTCAAGAAACTCTAGAGCTCTGTTTTCATTTGGCTGGTGGAATACATGGCTAAAGCTTGTTCCTCTTTGGAAAAGGATGAGTCAAATAGTAATTGAAAAGACAAGGCATTACCTGATACCAGATAGCACGTGATGTTTTCTTGTGGTGATTTATAATCCCCAGTTCCCATTGGTGGGCCAGAGACAGGAGATGTGTTTCTGGCCTATTGTCTGCTTCCTGGAGCCAGCAGGGACAGCTTSATTCAGGATGGTAACACCATATGCTTTTAAAGTATTTAACCTGTATTACCATAATGAGATCCCCTGGCTTTCTAAATCTCTTTGACAATTCACTGAAGCAAAACAAAAAGTGGTCTTTATTTGTATTGCTTCACCACATGCACATGCATCCGAGCAAGCCTGAATTTCAATTGCAGGATGCTGAATTCTTTCTTCTGTGTCCATTTAAGCCAGCAACTGACACCAGCACAGCCAATGGAAGGGACGATGGCGTCATTCGGGTCAGCTCAGCTGTGTAAAACAGAATAAAGCTGAAGAGGTGACAGTTATAACCATGATAATGGCAAAAAGTGCTTGTTATTTGGTCGCTTCTGAGCAGGCATGTTCAGCAGCACAGAATCGTTATGTAAAAT